TAGTGGTTTATGGAAAAAAACTTATCATAAACATTGTGTTTTTTGCGACAAAAGAGTCATAGAACTATTCTTTCTATGAATCCGTCCCTCCAAGTGGCCGCGCGGGGCCCATAGGGCATGTCTCCGCCTCTCTCTGGCACTCTTGGTCCTATATTGCCCTAAAACTTCTAAAAATAATTGATTTTTCGCTGCCATCTTCGAGGAAGAAACAAAGAGGGGTACTTTTCACTCTCGTAGGGCTAATCTGTCGGGATCCTTCCCCTCCGGGTGGGGGAAATCAAAGCCATCGACATCACTAGCACTCCGTTCATGGGGAACATCATCGCCGAACACCATCTCCATCATCGCCTCCATACACCCCTACTTTCCAATCTATAAAGCTATTACCTCGGATTTGTTGTTGAGATCACTTCCTTGTGTTATTTGATGTTTTGTTGTTGATGCTTAGTGATTTATTGGTGAAATTTTTGCATGTTTATATTGTTATTCATATCATTACCCCACTGATCATGACCAATATGATGTGTTGTTGAGTTGTCCGTGGCATTCTTGAGGACTTGGGAGAAACTTCGTTGCTTGTAACATATGGAATTGAGTAAAGTTCAATGTTGTGGTATTATGTTGTGGTGTAATTCTTCTCTGGTGATGTGCAAACATCTATAGCATGTCAAGTCACCCTTATGTGCCTTAGGAGAGCATTATGTGATATGTTTTCTTAGGATGAGTGGTTGGTGGGACAAATATTACCATGGCATGAGTTTGTGAACTGTTACATGCTCCCTCATCCCAAAATAAGTGTTGGTGATTTAGTACAACTTTGTACTAAAATTATACTATATCAGCAACACTTATTTTGAGACAGATGGGGTATGTATTTTGTTGAAGTGAAAAAGTGCAATTATGCCCTTAATTTTATTTTGATGTTGATGACAATATACATATAGAGAACTAGCAACTTCAGATTGCGATCATGGATCACTTCCGCGCGGTAGGGATTGTAGCACTTTTGGTCATGAACCCTTGTCAAAATGGCGTGCCCTTTCCCTCCGCACCATGAAATAGATCCATTCTAGTGACCAACCATGCTTCATAGATCAATTCATCTTCCTTGTTCGAATAGGCGGCTCCTCTCTTATTCTTTAGACCGACACCCGGCGGCCAGTCATTGTCTGCTCAAAGTATGGCTGCTTAGTGTACACCTGCTGAGCGTCCGACAGCTGGGTGCCCAGTGGCGACTCTTGCTTTGGTTGTGAGTCATGCACTTGTCCATCTTCGTTCTTGCCTTTATTGTGGATAATGTTCATCATCACCTTGTCATTTTTCATTGATTTTGTATGGATTAGGGGATGAAATATGAGAGACTCAGGTGCAGAGAAGGAAATTTGAGACATGACCGGTTACTGTTGGGTGCATCCACGGACATTTAAAGGGTTTTGATTTGCCGAATCCGACTGTATATGCTCTTAGATGGCTAAGAGTGTTCTTACCACCCCGAACATTTACGTACAATCGATATGGGTGATCCCATTGGAGTTGGCTTTAGAATCGAGCCGAGCTGAACGGGCGGTGGCTCTGTTTGGCCCCGGTCCTGAAAATCGAGCCGAGCCTGACTCAACTTTAAAGAAAACGAGAACAGAAAGGAAAGCGAGCCTTGAGCTCGGGTCGCTCTGAGCTCGAGCTCGGCTCGGCCAGCTCACATGCCTAGCCACAAAACAAGCCGAGTACAGCCCCCAACATGTTTCTCGGAAAATTGTATCTTTTGCCCCGCTTTACTTCCCACTTAGATAATTTGCCCCCCTAGAGGCTGTCGGGTGGGGCCGAGTCCACTGGTCATTGGGACAACCCTGGGGCAAATCATCTAACCCCTTGTAAAGTGGGGCGTTTCTCTCTCTCTCATACTCTGCGCTCAACCCGGCAATCCGACCCATGGGTTCACCCGCCCATGGGCACCCGACCCGAATGGGTAGGGTATGGGTTGTCGACCTCACCCATGGGTCTTACCCATGGGTAACCCGATTAGTCGTGGGTAGGGTATGGGTTCAAATTTATGCCCGTGGGTTACCCGATGGATCACCCGATTAATACTAATAATTAAATAATTAATTTATTCTCCATTATATCTGATGTTTTTAGTCGCGCCTCACTAGCAATGGTCATTAAAAAAGAACGAGGCACAACTACGGGAGCAAATCCATCACTAGGTCTCTTCTCACTTCTCATTCACACGCTTGGTATGGCCCAATTCTAGCTTCAGCCTGGCCCATGCAAGCAAAATCGACGGATGCAGGCTGCATTACACAGCGGCGCACATATGCATTAGTACCACCTCGCCTACGGGAGCGCATGGGAAGGGGAAGTTTGCCTATACAAGAAAGATTATTGGATCGGTGCCTCGTCCACTCCATGCGATCTGCACAATGCAAATTGTACATCGACTAAGTAAACAAAATACGTATTGTCAGACCCGATGGATGCCTGATAGGGTCGTGCTACCCGATGGATTCGGGCGTGGGTTTAAGTTCAGACCCATGGGCAGGGTCGTGGGTGTGGGTATGACCCGATAGTCTGATCGGGCATGGGTCTGGTAGAGGTTCACCCGACCAAACCCGACCCGACTGCCAGGTGCGCCCGTCCCTGTCCGGACCCCCGCCGCCGCGCCCGCGCCCTGGCGCGGCTTCCGGCCGCCGCCGTTTCTGCCACTCCGCGGTCCTCCGCCGCTCCATCGCAGGGCGTGCGTGGCTTCCCCTGCTCGCCTCTACTCGCCATCGCCGGTAGCCACCGCTCACCGACTGCTCCTCCCCTCTGATCCTCCACCGACAGCCGCTGGTGACGTGACGTTGCCGCTGGGGGCGCCACAGCCACCGGCGTCTCGCTACAGGAGATCGACTAAGCTCGGATTCTGCTGGCTGTCATACTACTCTCCCTACGGCAGATATAGCGTAAGTTGCTGTTTTGTGATGATGCAGTGCTACGCTCTGTATCAATTTGGTTGATGGTAAATAGTACAAGTAGTTTTTGTTCAGCGATAATTAAGGTTCTGCAAGAAAGTAAATAAATGTGCACTCTAGGCTTGATATGTTTGATATCTTGTAGCGGTCGGGCTGTTGCAGTCCACAACCTTAACTTTATGTTATAGAGAAAACATGTACAGAGATCAACAAGGCCAGAACATACAAGGATCATAGACTAATCTAAGGTGGGAGAAAAGCAATCCACCTGAGCAACCTGTCTATAAACCTAGGCTTAGCCCTATGCACCACGAGAGATATGGCATGGACAAAATTGCAATGCGAGGTTGTGAAAGACGCCTGAATATGTTTGTAGATCTTGGCATTGTGGATTAGCCAAATATGCCAGCATGCAAGGAAAAGCCTGTTTTTGTTGTGATAAGAGAACTCCATGTGGTTTTTGATATCTTTAGAGAATCATAGTGGTTTGGTGATAAACTGATAACCAATGCTAATCATGTGTATTGCTTTGTTGTGATAACTGGTTGATGTTCTTTAGCAATCTGCTCTTGCGATGCTGTGATAATTATGTATTAGGGTCACTTGTTTTGGGGCTTTGCCAAGAGAGCTAAAACCCCCAAATGCAGAGCCTCTTATCATTAGAGAATATTTTTCCCACCACCCAGAAAATTGTTGAAACCAGGAAACTGCTCGGACCCAGTCTTCCGAGCTTCTCGCCTCATCAATTTCAGAAATGCCCTCCGAGTTACAAGGAAATTACCTCCGTGGCTCTGTATGCCACCGCGTGCCTCCCTGTTCCCAAACCCAACCCTGCATGGTTATCTCGTTGTTCTCTCACAACATCACGGGTCTCCTACGCTAGGAGATCGACGCTGCCAAATGCATCCACCTCGTCTAGCTACAGGCTAGCTCGACGTCGACCCATGTGTTGCCGCTTTCCAGCTCGTCCTCCACCTCCAGTTAGGTGCTGCTTAGCTCGACCTTGGCCTCCAGCTCACTGCCGACCAGCTCGACCGCAGGAAAAAGTTGGTCGAGGGCATGTTTCTCCTTTATAGCATTACATGATTGTTTTTATACCTGGGAATCATACTCATGCTCAAGTTAAGCTATTTTTGTTAGAACTTACAAGAATGGCTGTCATCTACCTTTTTTTGCATTCGTTCATTTAATTATAGTTTGAAGTCATCTGAATTTGAATTTGGGGGATGTGCCATCACTGCCATGTGATGTATCTGATTCGCATATGACTGCTAATGCATGTATATTAATGCAGCCTATTGTGCAATCGAAAAGCATGTGTGATGCGTGCAACTTATTGCTTACGTCAAAATAGGACACAACTGAAGTTCTGTTATGCTGAAATTTTAAATTTTTTTGCTTCTGCGGTTAAATAATGGAAAAAACGAAATTATCTAACAAAAGGATGTGATTAAAGTTCAGGGACATTGTAGACTTTACATTAGTTAACACAGAAAAGAAGCCTGAATTCTGTAAGCCGAAAAGAAAATGAAAAATAGTTTTTCAGAGCTCCCCCCTACTAGAGCTTATTTCCACCGCAATCCATAATCCTGTTTCTGGAGATTCTTAAGCTCAAAAGAAGTAATCAATGCTGTCTTCTGAGGTTGTGTGCAATGAAGGTTATGTTTCCTTAAATGTTTGCTAACGATGCATTCTTCATAGGCAAAGGCTAACTGTCTTGTACGTAGATGCTAAAATATCAATGAAGTTAATGGCAATCTTACTACCAAGTTGACAACGATTCACAATTTGAAACTGAGATAGGCGCTGACTGAGCGACTGTGTGTGTCAGTTGTTTAACGCACTTGTGTGTCCCATGTTCTTTTTGGAATAAATAAATAAATCAGGAAACAAATATAGGACTAATACATAGTGGTACACGTCATGTTTCAACAATCACCAAACAAAACAATGAGGAAACCAACCACTTATGTGGTTCTGAAAGTCATTTCTGACACGTGAGTTTCTTATTCTCTTGTCTTAACATTCCGGTTATTCTTTACAGGGCTATAAATGGCAGGGAAGCGCCGCATAAGTCGCCAGTACTATGAGGAACCACGAGGATTTCGTGATGGTCCTCCTCCTCGACTTGCACGAGAAAGGTCTATCTCACCACGTCGCTTCGAGGGAGAGCTGTCTAGCCGCCGTGATGAGATACGCAGAATCCGTGATGACAACCAACATCTGGTGGATGAAATTGTTGGACTCAGGCAAGGAATGTCTCATTTGAAAGAAGATCTCTATTCCTCGAGTCAGGCTATACCTAAGCTCCGTGCAGAGAAAGAACTTGAATCGAGGGAGCTGACTCAGAGGAATCTGAAGCTGGAAGCTGAGCTACGCTCTTTAGAACCCCATAGGCAAGATGCCTTGCAGCTACGATCTGAAGCAGGCATGCTGCAGTCTTTGAGGCAAGAGTTGACTGAAAAGGTGCAGGGTCTAACGAAGGAGGTTGAGCATCGGAACTCTGAAAAGCAGCGCATACCTGCCATGGTAGCTGAACGAGATGGTCTGCGACAGGAACTAATTCGTGCCAGGTATTGAACCATTCTGGTTTGCGTTTCTGGTTTAGTAGATGCAGCATGCTGTTTTTTG